GAAATCATACGATCGGCAGGGGATATAGTGTAAAGGCCATGGAAATCTTCCTGGCGCGTACTGTTAGCGCCCCTGTTGGAGGTGCCCTGACAGGTCGACATCTCAAGACCTGCGTGAATGACATTGATAAGCTACCGGATGCTCGTCAGCCAAATCATGGCACTTCATATGCATGTACCTTTCTTACCAAATTACTGGAGTATGGATAACCTAGCACTTCTAGGCCCCGCTCAGTCCCCTCGTTTGTACATTTCTTGGACCATCCCTAATTAGCATTACATGTGGCCAGGTATGCAATGTATCATTTTAAAAGTGGCATTAATATAACGAACAATATCTAAAGAGATTGTGCCAATAAAAAGTACAAAACATTTGTATAGTAATGTAATCATCAATATTAGCCAACATGACTTGTCTTCCAACCTATATTTATCATGACCTATGCCAACTCTGCGGCATGTAGTTTGGATTGTTAGGCTACTTTTCAAGTATCGTAGAAATATTCTAACAACACATTTGGCATATACCAGAAAGTGCAACGGTGGTTTAGAGGAGGGAGTTGAGGATAAACGTTGATTATTATTTCTAATTTCAATCTTCTATTGGCATCACATGGAAACAGTCTGTGAGAATTCGAGGGGAGTTTATTCGCTTATTTGGATAGTGAGGATCTATGAGAGATTTTCCAATAAATGATAACATAATTTATGATGAATGGTCAAAATGTTTGTTGTAAAGCAATTCCCCTCACAGCTCTCATGCCCTCCCCTCTAAAATGTGAAATGTTGGATTCTCAATTCTCACACTTACTCCCTTCTCAAAATCTCTTGCTTCCCAACAAGTGACTTTATATCTCTGGATTTCCATTCTCTCCATAGTTGTCTCCAGCCCCGCAAGATATAAAGTCAAGTAACAAATCTCCATAATAATTTCTCCGGCATAAACGTTCAGCCACCATGCATTGATGAACACAGCGGCAGCAATGTAGGTTCTATAAATTGCATACCAACGATGCATGGCGATTTTGAGAAGCTAGCATGGACCAACTAGGGTATTTTCTTTTGAGTGATGCATCATGCATCACACACATACATGGAACTGAAAAGAACCGCATGAACATAGCTAGCTACTCGATCGTGCTTTGGCATGGCCTTTTGATCTCTCCAAGCGCAGGATAAACCCAAGGGGTTTTGATTATTGCTTTGAACTCGCCTTTTCCCTTTCCCTTGTCGTTTGAACTTGGATTTGGCTGTATTTCCGTTATTCATTAATGGAAAGGGGATTAGCCCGGTTAAAAAAAAAAGGTAGGCTTGAGAGGCAACCGGGAACTAAGGCGTGTGATTATCATGGCAATGACCTCAACTGTGACACTTCCGGCATACCTTGTTTGACGGAGGTTCTTCCAGCTACATCTTCTTTTTATTGTACAGATTGCCCCACGATCACAAGGTCCACGAAATTCCTATCTCGTCAAGACGTGATGCCCACAAACTACAGTCAGTAGCCCAGCCAAAAGGATAGCTATGACATGCAGCCTGCGACAATGATCTGAATGTGATCTGTCCCTCATATTGATGACCATCGACCAAGCCACGATCAATAAAATCAGGGATGGCTTTGAATCCTTGTCCATGTGAAAATAATCTGTTAATTGAACTTTTTTTTATTGTGGCATTGTGTTGCCTAGAAAAGTTCTACACCTTATATGGTATAAAAAGTCGGCATATAGAGAACCAAACTCACAAAGGGTCCGTTCGGTTTCGGTCATGGGCCAAAAAATTATACACCTTATCTTATAAAAAGTCGGCATGTAGAGTAACATAGTCACATAGGCATCAATGC